TAATTTTTGTTTAAATCAAATAGTTTTAAAAAAAACTTTACTTTATGTCTAAACTTTTGTTGTAAGAATTTATGTAATTTATCTAAGGACTGTATAAATAATTGAAAAATATTATCTTTTCTGCTCGTATTCGATACCCAGATTAAAGTATTTAAGAGGAAAATGTAATCTACAACTTTGTTGTGACAATTACAATATATTTATTACACTTTTAAATATCGACTAATTTTCCCTTGAAATGAAAAGTATACGTAAAGTATAAGTGAAATCCGTGAACGGAAAGTAGTTGTAAAATCAATCACTAGATTTATTTTTGACAAACGTGTTAAGAGACATGAAACAATATAAAATGTACATTTATAAGATGTTAAAAGGTGGTAAATATTATTCACGAAATGATGAGATGATAAACGTAAGTTTCATATGTACCTCATAAAGACGTATATTATTTTCCGAGTGTCTAATCCACTCTGTCCAAGTGGGTAAGACACTCGACTACGAGTCTTCCAGACCAGGTTCTAATCCCCTAACTAGAGCAAAGAGATGCTTTTTTTTACTACTTATATTAGATTTTCTAATAGCTTTTAAGCAGAAAAAATTGAAAATCACATGGGTTATAATTTATACATTTTTGTTTTTTAAGTGCCGAAAATCTTGCTTAATATCGTGTAGGATATCTTGTAGATTATAGTGCAAGAAGTTTCACACGATATCCTATAAGATTTCGTGTAGTATATCTTGTAAGATATCGTGTAGGATATCTTGCACGATATCGCACAGAAATTTTGTTACGGGAGTGCTCTATGGGCCTCTAATGGTAACGATTTAATTATAATATTAGAAACTTTCTCTTTTGTGTGTATCCAAAGGACTTTCACCTTTTCTTGATCCGCAAATTGCTTTATATAGTCTCTATGCGTTACTGAAATATGTACCCTAACTCCTGATTTTCCTTTTTTTAGTAAATTGTTCGTTATTCCCTCTAAATCCTCGTCGTAATTCCTAAGTTTGTGACAACCGTCCATTATAGTACACTTGATAGCCGACATGTTACCACACCAAATTGTAACAGGCATCAGAGTTCTCCCTATTGTGTATCTTATTGACTTGTCTAGTCTTCAAGCCACCATTGTACTCATGGACCTCACGGAGCTTGATCTTGAGATGAAGGTCACTAGCGTGCACAGATCTATATGTGTTGGTAGGTCTGGGGCTGACAGGTCGAGATATTGTTCCACGTTGTCTTCTACAGTTTTAAGTTTTGTCCGTTACGGCAGTTATGAAAAAAGCACTGCCCAACCAAATTGCCTTCACGTGATTGTTGTTAACATACAACACATATTACAATAAATTGTGTCAATCAATTAATTCAAGTATCATCAAAGAATTTGTAATGTGTTCTTAGAGTTAAAGCATTCATTTATATATGTATACGTATTTGCATGAATGTGCAAGAGTCGTAACAACGCACTGCTGAGAAACGAAATGTTATCTATAAGTGGCAGAACGGCCTGCAAGCTCGCGATAGGCCTCAGTTTTTTACTGGCTCTCGTTCAGAAAATTGCCCGTACTTGTGAAATATTAAACCACATTTTTTTTATATTATTGTTATAAAGTTTCACTGACTTAATTGAAAGTCTGTTCTTTTTTTCGCCTTTGCATCTAGACATTGTTTTGTTTTTTGTTGACTTGTTCCTGATGGACACGTTGATCTATAAAGACAAGACCCAATTGGCGCTAAATATTTCAGTACCTATACAACGAACCTAAAAGTATAAGCATGCACAGTAAAGGTAAATAAGTTAACTACTGATGATTGTTACAAAAACTGCAGAATTATGGAAGAGAAAATAAATATAAAACGCTTTAAGCCACTTAATTAAAAAAATCATTCAGTAGCACGAAGTCATTTACTTGCATGGATTGGTGAAAGACTGGGCCCAAGGCCCAATTGCTGTAACAGCTAAGGTAAAGAATAGATGAAGCCTTTAAACGAATCATAAAAACTCCATATGATGACCATCAGTTGACGCTTATTGGCGGAAAGATTCAAATCTAAAAATGAAAATTTTTTCTTACTAAACGACTGATATTGTAAAATCACTATGTTTTAAATTTTTAAATTTTTATTTATTAATGGTACTATCTAACTAAATAACACCTACATTATGCACCATTTCTACAAACTACGTAATATATATTATATTACAATCCGGAGAACAACGTGTACTTTGCGACTTGGGGCGCTGACGTCAAGTATTGCACTAGTTTATTTGATTTTTTTGCAATAGTAATAATCGTTTCTCCAGTTATAAATAAAGCATTTTAGATGAAAAATTAGACATAAAATACGATGATTTTGTTGTTAAAAATTCATATCTTGCAGAGAAATCTTCGAATAAACAGACGTTGAAAGTAGTGCATTAAGAATTTTAAAAGTTAAATATAGTGATACTCCACGTATTGTAACAATATTTTTCTTTCAAAATAATTTAACAAGAAAGTATTAGCATACTTTCCATAGTGATAAAATCGCGTACTTCTTTGGACTCTGCTAGTGCGTCACCTCCACTCTTACTGCTTAGTTTTTTAGACGACTTTGTTTATGATGACATATCACAAATATTCGCTAAGTTACATTCAGAAATAATAAGCCTAAGAAGTTAACAAAAAAAAAATTATTCTATGTTTTTATTCAACTCTTTGTTGAGGAAGTAAACAATTTCCCTATCTCTATTATTCTTGAATCTCTAATTAAAACTCTTTTTTTAACTTGCAAGATATTGCAAAGTTAAAGTATAACCTGTTGCGCGTTCCAAAAATTAGGTTTAACTATTTTCTCCACTTATTTTCTGAATATTCTTTAATTGCAATATTGCGTAATATTACTAAGTTTGATTGATCCTTAAATATTTTGAATTATTTCATTATAGTATTTTGTGGAATGAAATATGTACATATGTTAAATTTGATTTAATGAATCATATTAAGAAACTTTTTTTGTCATTACAGGGTGAAAACAGCACTTGCTCAGTTTTTTGATGCATAAGTAAGAAGCTACTAAATTGAAGATTCAAAGCGGAACTACGAAGAATCTAAATTATGTACCCGGATGATAGTTTCCAGAATGTATATTTTTTTTTATACTAATTTATATCAGAAATTGTATTTGGGTTTAAAAAAAAGTTATCACACATATGATTCAATTTAAAAAGTTTACTGGAAAAAAAATTTTGCATGATTTAAAATGTGAGGAGTTACAAAATACTGTACGAATATAGTTAAGTGTCAATAACTTGGTTCTCTATTATATGCAATCTATTTGAATGATTATTCCTAAATTTTTTTTTCTTATCTGGCCGTCTTTTATATTGAAACCGGAATTTTGTGTCAAATAATAGTTAATGTTTTTTCCAAGTAAGACTTTGAGAATACTTTAATAGAACAAAATAATTACATAGGTTATATGAACTTGTTTTAAGCTTCTTTAAATACAAATCGCATTACTCTACACGGTTACCATCTCAAGGAGTTCATAGAATGTTTATGAGAGTTTGCAGTGATGGAGAAGCATTTGTTCTATGGGTGCAACAGACGACTAATGCACCTGAAGTGCTAAGTTGGTAAACGTTTGTATATAATTTAAGATCAAAGTTCTTCTTGCCGTAAAAAAGTGCTGTCTTAGACCCATGGGCACATTTTGGTCTTTTTGTCCATGGTTATAAATAAAATATAATCTCATTTTCTATAGTATACTAACTTCTAACAGAAGTGGTAAGTAAAATCTTATTTGACACGTTAAACGCCTACTACTGGAAGAGAAATATCACTTAGGGAATCCGTTGTGAAAACTCGGAAATACTGCACGAAAACAAATAATACCATGTATAAAAATTTTAACTACTTGTGGGAATAGAATGCCAGTCTGATAGTATAGTGGAAGAGAAATGGCATAGTCGCTACAACTCGAAAATACTAGACGAAAAATAATGTTACCGTATAACCAAGACGTAGACGATTAATAAACCGTCTATGGTAATAGCTAATTTTTGTGGGAATGTTGTTAAAAGAATTTCTCAAGTTGAAAAAATCAGTTTTTCAACAATATCTCAAAAATCATGGACTTTTTGAAAAACGACAAATGTAGAAAATATAGCTTGTAAAAATATCTACAAAATGTCGCCCAACTTTTCAAAATTGGTTGATTTGTTTAGCCGAAAAGTTGAAAATATCTACAACATAGAGCATTTTTTAATTGGTAATAACTAATATTCTCTTTTTTCAAACAGTACCAAAAAAGTGTAAATTGTGTGTCCTTATGATGTTAAGAAAAGCTTCGAATTACAATTTGATCGCTTTTACAGTTTTTGAAAAAAGTCAATTGTGTATTAAAATGGTCTTTTTTTTAATAGGCAGTCATTTTTTTGTAGGCATCTTAGAATGTTAATTTGAGTAGGATTCTCTTTGAAAAATATATTATCTGGTATAATTTATACCATAATGATTTTTGCAACTTAAATTGTTTAAAAATACATTCAAAAAGCAGGTACGTTTATAAATAAATAGAATAACTTTTTCATTTTTCATCGTAAAGCTTCGTAAATAGGTTCAATCTTAAGCTGAAATTACAATGTTTTTTCATTTGAGGTCGATTATTGACGTGTGATAACGTCACTGGCCAAACTCAACTGTTCGTTGGTTTTGGTTTCCAGCGATTCAAACCACATCGTTTGAAAAAAATGCATTATCTTAACAACTATACGTCCTGAAACGATCATTATTATTAATTTGGGGTAGCTCGCAAAAATAATTAGGTTGAACGTATTTTAAACTCTCACAAAATTAGTCCGACTACCATATATAGTAATAAGTAATTGAAGTCAACAAAATTTTTTTTTCCAGTCTGAATGCCACCCGTGTTATAATTTATAACCACAAACCTGTACTGTAAGTATATACATATAAATGTACAAACGTTAGATAATATATTTGTATAACGTACATTTGCATGATATAACTAAGCAAAATAATGCATCAGAAAGTTATTTTGTCAGTCATTCCAATTTCTAAAGTACTCCGTAAATATAGAAAAAAAGTAAAATTTCAAGTCCTAATGGGGATTATTTTATAGTTATAACACTATTTTAAGCTGTGCCAAAAAAAAATGATTTTTTACATAAACAGCAAAAAAGCTTTTATTTATTATTTGACATGATGGAATGTCCCAATACTTGGCTACTGTAGAAAAAACTTTTCCCTGTGGCCGAAACTTCAAGTCCCACTAATTAACCAGTCGTATGAATTGTACGCAATACAATCATTATTTCATTTCGTATTTTTATCCTGCTTCAAACAAAATTTGTCGCGTAGTGGTGATCGATCAGGAATAGGCCCAAATGGAACTGAAAGTTAAAAAGTCATCATTTTTCGTCATATCGAACACTAAAAAATTTTAAGTTACAATACAAAGACACATTATATAGTTTCTTGGGTCGCTTAGTATATGATTGAGGTTAAAAAGCCACAAAAAAAAATAGTGGATCCAATATGGTAAAATCTGTTTTTTTAATTTACGAAATTTCAATTAAAAAATTACCATCATAGTCTACTAAAACAATTTTGAATATAAAATGTATTTTGCACCGTTTGATTCAAATTTGCCGTTTTTAAGGAAAAAATGCATGCAGTTATAACATTTTTTGAGCATAATGAAATTTTCTCATTTTGCTTTGCATATAATGGTATTGGTATAGTATAAAAATACAAAATTTATCTTTCACTCAAAAATCGACCTTCGAAAAAATGGAGCCATGGTCAATTTTCCAATAAAATATAAGTTTGGATCTAGCCATAAATGACATAAAAATAGACTCTACCTCATACTGTATCTGTAGGTCTAGGTTGCGACCGGTTTATAAGATTGACTTTATTGCACTACTTAAATTACTAGATAACTCTTCACCAGAATAAAATGTAACACAAATATTTTGGATATTTACGAATCATAAGCTTTTTTTGAATCTGGTGAGAGTTTCAGCTGGTTTAGATTGTCAACCACCCTTGGGCCTCAGCTCTTGGTCTAATACGAAAAAGTGAAGAAAATGTAGTAAATCTCCCCCTGCAGGAGTAGAATGATGGTCAAAGCTTGAACTCGAACACGTTTGTCGGAGCACTCGATCAGTCCACTGGATTGATATCGTTACCGTCTGCTTTGTATACGCGAAGAGTAATGCATTTATCTTCTGTCTGTTATTAGACTTTTAAAGTTAATTTTAGTCAAAACAGTCAAGGTGTACTTACCATTTAAGACTTTGAGAGTATCAATCCCGTTAGATGGCGCTTATGCTGGGACTGAAAGCTTTACTAAATAACATAATGATTTACGGAGCTAAGGACATGTCTAAATGACTGGATGCGCGAGTGTTTTACGTAGGCAAGTAACTTTCCGAACTAAAAATTGCTATCGTACCCTGAATGATCGTCCGTTTAGTCATTCGGAAAACATCTTCAGTGATGTATGTAAAAAGTACATAATACTTCATTTCATGCCCACCTAAATATTCATATGAAATCTAAGTCAGATCATCGTTGAAGCCATCTCATTTGACTATATGGATTCATGACAGATTATGAGGATAATCCACGTCAAACTGAACTGAAAATGATTCCACGTGCATTTTTTACTACTAGCACACCCAAAAATATTTGCATTAATTAATAGTCGTTCATGATAGCTAGATAGAAATTTTTTTTAATTAAACCCACTCGTTTTTATGATAGAATACATCGATAACATCGACATGGTTGATAATTTTGATTATCCAACCATAATTGATAAACATTAAATTATGTAGACATTTTCAGATAAATTATCGATCGATTCAGAGAGAATCTACGAGAACTTAAGTTAGTTAATGTACGGAATCTATGTGTCAAACTGAGATAGATTTTAGGCTGACAATCGGTCGAAGATCATCGTTTAAATCAACAAAAATCAGGATGGAATCGACTTAGATTTAATCTAGAAATCGTCTGAATATATGTGGGAGACATTTAAATACTTTCCAAGCAGTAAATACCATTTTTACCTAGAAGGCTATGTTGCTTTCTCAACCCTAAAGTTGAAAAAACAAGTCATATTTTTAGCGAAAGAAAGTGAAAACAAGTATACGCGATTTAAGGGGAAAGTACTGTATATACTTAACGGTGTTACACGAAGCTTGCCTTCGGTGTCGGTAGCAATCTATAGAGGGGATGTCGTACTTTCGCCACTCATAAAATGATGAACTACTAATAACAACAGTCAAAAGTCCGTTCGCTGTGTGAGTAAAGACAGCCAGCTCTCTAGTCAACGATTTTTTGCAACGCTGGCTAGATAGTGGACGACTTCCGCGATGCAAAATCTAGAAAAAATATTTATAACAATTAACACAATTTTAGTATGGTTGAGCAAGTGTCATAAAAATATAATGTGAGCAATCTTTTTGACTACAAAAATTATGTGAAGTGATTTTAGTGGGTATATAATTCATACGCCTATAACAAAGTCGAGCTAAGTAGCCTCGATGCTGCTACTAGACGAAAACATGATGTCCAATTTGATATATCTAACTGTTGTGGCATCCCATGTCATATACTTAATATTCATTATTTCGAAATACATAGCTCCGTTAAAAACTTATAAAAAGCGAATGCTAAGCGATTGTTAAACATTGAGCTGTATAGCTGCTTCTGCAATCTCGTGACATATAACTTACTTCCTTTGAAAAGAGCTACCGTCGCAAAACTCTAACTACGCGTGCAATTTCCAAATAATCTTATATAGCGCTCATCTTACAAAAATCAATTTGCACTAAATGTCTGAAAGAATGAAAACAATCAGCAGTTTCAACATTTATTACTGAGAATCATCCACAGCAAATGTCGCGAACAGTTTCAACATCAACTGTACCAAATGCAACAACCGAGAAATTAGCGATTTTAACCATTGTTCGCGGTATAGTTGTGGCACCACGTTTATGCTTGTGTAAATTGAGAGTAATTGGGTTAAACTCTGATTGGTCGTTCGGATCCCCAACTTGACGTGTCCTCTTTAAATGCAAGAGTATAAAAACTCCTTGCATATACGTATAATTGCCTTGTCTCTTTTATCAAGTGCTCCAAAGTAACTATGAAGGTTGGAGAGTGAGTTCTGTTGCATCTTTTAAGCGGATATTAGACTCAGTTCAGTGATTAAGCTACGTGTTAAAAGCGTGCATTTCAAGCAAATGTAAGACTTAGTTCGGTGACTAAACCGTGTAAGAAAAGCTCGAACAAACCCGATCACTGTCGTCATCGCCACGAGTACTCTCGTGTAGGATTGGGATCATCGTTAA